ACCCTTGTCAAAATAGGAGGCTGCCCACCCCCATCCCCCATTCCCACCTCTCTAAAGCTTCCCACTATTTGTTTCAGCATTTTAGTAGACACGCACTTGCCTCCCACCAGAACATACAGTGTCTGGTTTAAATAGGCTTATCTCTTTCCTTAGCTAGTCCTGGAATTATGCCTAAAGCTCAGTCTGAGCTTTCAGAATGAGAAATCTAATTGGAAAGTGCTGTTCGCTTTGTGACTCCAAGACCTCTTCACAAAATGTAGTCTGACCTTCCGACTATCCCCGCACATCAAAGTTAAACAGCCCAACTTAGTATACAGTTCCTTGAAATCTGCATTGTAAACATTGATACTGACAGGCTGCCAACTCTCAAAAAGTTTCTAGGTCCTTGTTGAACTAAAATGAAAAAGTGCAGGGTCTCTCAAAATAAATGTTCCCGACTCATCCAAACCCTGGGTCTCCCAGAGGGACCCCTTTTCCTTTCCACTTGTTTGTAATGGGGTGAAGAAGCCCTCTTCGATTTTTCACTTTCTAATTAAGCTACTGAGGTCAGGAGGCCCCTCACTTTCAAGGCCTGGGCGCCAAATTCTAGGAAACAAATGGGGAGCCGGAGAGGAGCGCGATGCCGCCGCCCTTCTCCCCCGCTCTTTGAGAGATCGCTGCTCTTGCCAGCCCCTCCAGCCCCGGCGTTCCACTTAGGAGAGGTTTCATTACATAATCTCCGTTCCACAGAGTCACCCACAGAGTCATGGGGGCCCGGCTGTCCCCCGCGTCTCACCCCACCCTTACGAAGATCGCCCGGCGGGTCCAGCCCGGGAGCAGCGCCCGCCCCGCGCCCCGGAGCGCGGACCCCGACCCCGACACAGACTCGCTGACCGCCGCACGCCTGCGAGTCCCTCCCTAGGTCCGCTTCGCACCCGGCGCCCCGGCTCCTCTCGGGGATACCTCCGTCTCGGTGCCTCTTGGGGTCCCTTCCTCAGATCCACAGTCCGGGCCCCTCGCAGGGACCCCCAACCCACGCGACCCCATCCCAGCAGCTTTCGAGGTCCTCTCTCCACTGACCCGCTGGCCCGATCCTTCTATGGGGGGGTCTCCCCTAAGACTGCTGCTCTGACCTTACTCGCAGCCCCTCGGCCTCTTCAGATTCGCTGCCCGGCCCTTCTCGAAGTCCCCGCCCCACAGACTTGCTGTTCCCGTCCGTTTCGGGGTCTCCCTCTCGGACGCGCCGTCCCGGCTCGTCTCCACAGACCCGCGAACCAAGTCTTCCCCGGGTCCCCGCTCCAACCCGCGCAGCCGGCTCTTTTGGGGTCTCCTCTCCACCGTCCGGACTGTCAAACTCTCTTCCGGAACTCCCCTCACTCGAGTGCCCGCCGACCTCACTCCGCCCAGGGTCCCCTCGCCAGGGCTCACGCTGTCACCGCCCCGCGCTCCGGAGCTCTCACCTCAGACCTGCTGTCACCACCCCGGGGCCCGGCGTCGCCGCCGCCGCTTCCTCTCCCACACTTGTTCGAGAGTCGCTCTTGTGCCGCTAGTCCCCTGGAGGATCCCCGGGGCAGGTCGCTGAGTGCCGGGTCCGGCTGCGCACCGCCTCCGCCCGCGGGCTCCGCGTCGCGTCCCACTCTATCACTCAGGACCCTGCCGCCGCCGCCGCCGCCGAGCGCCACACGGACCCTCCCGCGGCCGCAGCTGCTGCTGTCCGAGGTGCGGCTCCTGCTAGGGGTGGCCAATCGCACCCGACTGCGCCGAGCGCGCTCCGCCCCATCGCCTCGGCCCGCCCGCCCCTTGGCTCGGACCACGCCCCCAACGCAACTCCGATAGGCCATCCACTGACCTTCCCTGATCGCGGGGTCCCGGGCTGGGGCCGGATATAGGTATTTGATTGGAGGTGCCTGAGAAGCCGAGCGTTCGATAGAGCCTCAGGATTGGCGGAGTTGACAGGGGTGGGACGGAGGGGGGCGGAGTTTCGTCTTTGCGGAAGCCCTCGCTGCTTCAGTTACCCTGGGGCCTGCCTGGGGTGCGGTCAGCCTTGTTTGTGTGGTGCAAGGGTCAAAGTTCATGGTCCTTCTTCTGCCTTTACTTTTCCAGGTAGATTTCTGGACGCCAAAGCCCTTTGGGATTCCCTGGGGTCACCATGTTAGAGCCTCTGGGGAGATCCCACTCTTCTAGACCTCGCACAGCTTTCGAAGTAATTGTACCATGAATACAGTTTTTTTGCATGCAGAATTTGAAAATATTTTCTGGATTTAAACTATCCAGAACTGGGGTGTTACCTGTCCTTGCGTTGCAGTTAAGAGATGTCATTTTCTATTGGAGAAAATACCTATACGCCAGACGCATAAAGAAACTGCACAAAGAAGCATTGAACACCGACGAGCCACTTTTTTTTAAGCACGAAGACAAAGCTTTGCAAGTATATTCAGTGGGTGCGTTTTGATTATTATGACAGTAGAAGTAGAAGCTGTGTGATGTTAATGTTTTTAACATTAACACAGTTTGAATAAGTCTATGCAACATTTTTATGGCCACCTGTTGTAATGATTCTGAACTAATCACAAAGTATAATGAGCTTTGACCCAAATGCAAGCTGTGATAACCAGAGACCCAACTAGATCTAGCCTGAAAGATAGTGCCTGCCAAGGGTGAAAGTGCATCTTGTTACTCAGAGCCACTTACATTTTTGTGAAACTGGGTGTGTTGATTAAATCAATACCGGAAACTGAAAACTGCTACCTACCCTAAAGCTTAAACTCCAAAGTTTATGGACTTTCACAATGTTGCCTTTTATGTAGAAATTGTTTAATTTCAGGGACACATTTTGATTCTAAAATTTGTCAGATATGAACAAGACAGTTCTCAGTAAATTATCCAACACTTTTAACCTCCTGCTACCAAAATGTGTGTTTTCTCCTGGGTTTGAAAATCCCACCTCCTTCCAGCTATGATGCTCCCCTTGAAAGGTAAGGGGAAAGTTAAGAGAGTTAAGATATTCAGGGAGCAACTCTGGAAATGGAACTGGCAAAGGATACTTGGTTTAAGAGGAGTTTCGAAGTAGATTATTCTGAGTAGTATGTCTGAGAATCATTTTGGAAAAAGATACTGAGCACTTGGCTTTTGGAGAACTTGATTTTTACTGATCTGGACAGACTATCCAAAACCATTGTATTAAACAACTCTCAGAGTTAAAAATGTTTTGTTTTTTGACTAGGTTTCCTTGTAAAGAGTAGTTATTAGTTAAGAGCCAATTTTAGGATTAACAATATGGACAGAAGAACTGGGTACGATTTCACCACCCAAGTGTTTGTCAGTATTCATGTATAAAATAACAGATGTTAGTTGCAATCAAAAGAGAAGTAAAACATTAGCAAGATAAAAATCCCAACATCTTGAAAGAAAAACCAATTAGCAATAGTCAACTTAAGACATTTATTTATATTAATGAATTCTAATTTGAAATTTTCTGTTCTATGATTATTGTTACCCATAGGAACTCAGGTTTCCTGATACTCAAGTTGATTGCAAATAATTTGTAAGTGATCTAACACCATAAAAAAATGACATTATCCTTTGGGGGAGACAGTTCTGAAGTCCTAGTATAAACATAGTCAGTGAACCTATAGTGAGTCCTGAGAAGGACTCTTATTTAGAAGGAGCTTCAGAAGATCCCTGAACTCCTAGAAAGCTATTGCAGCATTCCATTCTGGAAATGCTTAAGTTTGTTAGGAGAAAAAAAAAAAAAACCTTTTCAAATAGAGCTAAGATTTTAATTCAAACAAGGTAGAAAATAAGAGATGCTAAATACCCGGGATGGGAAATTTTGTTTCACTTTCAAATAGGTATCAATTTAGAGATAAATTTGGTCATAAGAGATCTGGGAATATATTAGGCCCCATCCAGGTTTTTTACATATGTTGGAATTAACTACTTGCAAGTTACTTTTTAGGTAGAGGTTTGGGTGCAACTTAAGGAGCAATCATTAAACATCTCAGGGTTCTTTTCATTATCCCTTTTCTGGCTACACTGTCTGACAAGGGACAGTCTAGAATTGTCCATTAAGCAAAGCTTGTAACACTGCATTTCTGCTCAGGGGGATATCACACAAATTAATTCATGCAAGTAGTCAGCGTGCTTGTTATTCTAACTTTCCCCACACAACCTTCCTGATGTTCACTTTATTTAACTTCCTGTTGGCAAATGCTCCCCTTGCTTAGTTGAGAGTTGGTTATCAAGTTACTGGATTGGACCAAACTACCTTTCAAAACATTAATTTTCTAAGAAATATGAGGTAGTTTACACATTAGAGGATCTGGGTCCGAAAGTCTAAATTTTTTTTAAGGCAAGCCTGCCATGTTAAATTTATTTTTTAGACAAGTCACTACTTCATTCTCAGCAGTAAAATAAGGAGAACGCATAATTGAGTAAATCATCCAAGCAGAAAGGATTCTCACGGATTTGGAAAATTTGTTCTGCTGACCCCCAAGACTAAATATATCACCATCTTTATTATTAATCATAATAAAGCACCCATTATTTGGGATCAGATCCAGGCTGCTTTTCTTCGGGATGATCAAGCAATCTGTAGCTATCGAAGCTGGTGGGGGAGGGGGTGGCTCATGTTCATCTAAGGAGATCACCTGCACCTGCCAAGAACCCTTCAAACCCTGTGCTTCTGGGGTCACTAAGGATCCTCACTATTGTTCAGGCTCCAGACGCCGCCTGGCGGTTGTTTCAGGAAATCCCCTCTGCGCTCCGGGGTCCTGGCCGCGGCCAGGCCTGCCCAAGGACTTGCCTAAACTCCAGAGATCCTGCTTCCGCCCCTTCTCACCGCACACTAAGATTTTAATATGGCGACAGAGGGACTGGGGTTTACGCGAGGGGGTATCGGGAGGCCTCACACTCCCTCGAGCTCGGGTGGCACAATCAGGCGTTCCTCGGGCAGCTCGCGACCCGGAAGTCACCGCCGGCGCGAGGCCCCCGTTGCCGAGCGCGGGCGCGAGGGGCGGAGCTTTGCGGAGACGGGGAAGGGGTCGCCCGGGCTGCCAGGGCTCCGGCTCCTTGAGTTGGCGGCTACCCCGGGCGCTGCCAGGCGGAGGTGGTGGAGTCCGCAGGGCGAGTGGCCCTGCTCCCCCGGTGGCGAGCTCAGCTGCGGGCGGAGGCGACATGAGTGCCGCAGGGCTGCTGGCGCCGGCGCCGGCCCCGGCCGGCGTGCAGCCGACCGTAGAGTACTACCCCGAGGAGGACGAAGACCTGGAGAGCGCCGAGGACGACGAGCGCAGCTGCCGGGGCCGGGAGTCCGACGAAGGTGCGTTCGGGCGCTCGCCCGGCTGCCTGGCGGGGGTGGGATCGCTGCGGGAGGGGGTGGGGCTGCCTGGGAGAGGGGCGGGGCCACCTCGGGGCTTGGGGCCGCTGGAGGGTCGGGGGTTGGGGGGAGCGGCTTGGCGGGGGCCAGCCCTCGTGCTGAGCTGGGGGAGCCCGGGTTTCGTGGTACCCTTCAGAGTGGAGACGGGACCTTGGCGCTGTGGTGCGAGCTCCTGCTCCTGTTCTCTCAGCGGCCTGTGGTTTTTATGAATGAGACATCCTTGGGGTGCACCGGGTAGTCTTTCCTTTTGATTTCAGAGAGGACCAGAGCAAAAAACCCCCTTGGGCTTCCTGGCTCGAAGCTGCTCCTCACCCTCGGGATATGCTTAACTCATTCCTCCTTTGGGTAGTGCAGTGCAGGGTGGAGACGCAGGACCTGGAATCGGGCAGATAAATTTGGCTCACTTAACTCAGCCTTGTGACCTTAGTCAACTTACTGAGTTTCCACGTGTCAGAGACCCCAAGTGTGATATGGCTGTGAGTAGTACCCACTTCCTGTGTGTGTGACACGAGCATACAGTACTTGGCCTGCCTGATGGCTTCTAAATACTCAGTTACTGTTTTTAACCCCCCCCCCCCCGAATTTGTTGAGTGAAGACATGTGAAGACATGTCTTCCCAGGTATTGTGTGGAAGGTACCATGTCTTCACATTATCCTTAGTGCAGTTTTTACACTGGGCTTTATAGTTTGGTAAGAAACGCTTTTTTGAGGGATTGAGGACGGAGCTGGCTGGAGGAGGAGAAAGGTGAAGAAACATCCAAGAAAGGGCACAAAAAAGAGGGGATAAAGAGACGCCCCAGTACATGGGTGGAATTCTCTAGCTCAAGAAACGTTGTGGAGCAAAAACTGGCTAGACCAGCAGCCTAGGGTGAGGTGTATTATTCATCCCTGTTCCGCAAGTGCCAAGTACAGTGGCTGGCATCTGTCAGGATCGCAGTGAATGTCTCTTGCCTGAAGGAGGGGAGAGGGTTTGTGGGGAATGAGATCTGTAACAGCCTTTAGAAAGGCAATTGCACACATCAAGTTGCAAGAACTAAATTGGGTTGGGTGAAGCTACATTTGAAGACAAGGCTTAGATAGATGGTGTTTGTATGCGAATCACTGGCACTGCTTTGAGTAGCCACGAGGGGGAGCGTGAAGCGAAACTTGATTTCCCCACCCTCAAGTGGGGCTGTTGAAATCGCGTAGACTTGCCACCATTTGCTTATTTTAAGAACAGTGTTAAAAATGTTCTGAAACAGTTTTCCTTTGAGCATCTGGTGTTTTTCCTCCTCCCTTCATTTGAAACTTTGAAAATATTTCAGTAAATAGTTTACCTGGTTGTTTTGGGTTCTCTTTTGAATAGTACATATGGTACCTATTAAAGCAAATGCCAGAGGAGAATGGGCATGGGGGGTTCTGCAATAGTGCTCGAGGCTTGGCTGCCTGGAGCATCCCAGTCTCACACCAGCGTTGCCGTCCTAAGCTGCCAGCTCCTGTGGAAGTAGCAGCCTTGACCATGACTGCCTGTTTCTGATTCATCCCAGGATGCATGTCAGGTAAAGCAAGCTCTCCATAATAAGAATGGTGTGAGCTGAAAATGGTATTTTCTTTTCTGGATTAACTGTAATACTTTATATTTATGGCTCCATGTAGGCCCACAATGAGTAGAAACTCATTTTACAGAAGTTGATTGTCACTGTGTCAGGTGATACCAGTTCTGTGCATCATGATGCTAACAGATGCTTCTTCCCCAATTTTACTTAGACACAGAAGACGCTAGTGAAACTGACCTGGCAAAGCATGATGAAGAAGACTATGTTGAAATGAAGGAACAGTGAGTAGGGTTTTTATTTCTATTTTGGAATATAGAATTGGCAAGGAAACTTTTACAGTGACTTTTTGTATGTGGTTTTGACCCTGTGCTTCCAAAGGCCACATATGCGTATGTGCATTTTCCCACTTTAACTGGGCCACATTTATCAATCTTCCTGTTAGAAGAGTCTTTTGAAGGTAGACTAGAAAGAATCTTGAGGGAAATGATCCCTGGCAATAAAACCAACTTAGGAGAGAACTGTATCTCCCTTAAGTTTATTTATTTATTTTTTTAATGTGAAAAACCATCACTCAGCGAGAATAAATGGTGCCTTGGCTCCTGGTCTCGTGGATGGCCAGACCTGAACAGTACCGGCTGTGGCTGCACAGGGTGCTGGCTGTGGAGCAGAGGCGGCGCAGGAGAGCAGGGCTCCTGCCCTGGCCTTTCCTGGTCTTCAGGATGTGTCCATGGAAGCTGAAAAACCTACTTACTGTTAACACAGATGCAAGGCAGTATAAACTACAGCCATGAAGTATATATTGCATTGATGCTCTTAATTTGACTTGAAACTCTTTATTTTTAAATTGGACAGTGCACACTCCTTTCCTACTAAGTCCTCTTTGCAAATGTTTTGTGACCGTCCTCTACTTTCTGTCACCCTTCTCAAGCTTTGGAACTGACGGGCTAAGTCAGCTAAGTGCAGAAAATTCTGACCTAATTTCTGATCAGCGAAGAAAAAAGATTTTTCTTACTTCACCCCTGAAACTATGCTTGCTTTTTATTTCAATTTTATCCTCTTTAGGCTTTTTACTGATCTACCTTGGGCCATTCGAGATATGTCATTACATACCTAGTCTACATATCTAGTCTGGGTGAATCTGATCTTTATTCTGTTTACCTCTTCATTCTGTTATTTCCCTGCAAGGCACTTAAAAGTCAAAGGCATTGTCTGGCAAATTCAGGTGCTCCAGACATTGACTTTCTGCACGCAGTTTACACATCTGTCCTTTCTTGCACTTGATATGTTTAAACATTCTTTAGAGATGATCTTTTAATTGGATATGATCCCTTGGTATTTGGTAGAGAAATAGTTTTGATTACAATGGAATGCCCTGTGCGACTCAAGGTGAACACTAAGAGTCCATCAGAATCCTCTCTGGAAGCATCAGGCCTCCTGTGTAATCTCAGATTCTGCTTTGTTCTTTCCTCCACCTATGGCTAGTTGGGTTGTATTTGCAGCTCTTGAACAATCAAAAGCCTCTCTTTTGGGCAGTGTTCTTCATTCAGGTGGCCAATATGTTTGTTACTGTGAAGCTGGAAATGTTTATCAGGTAGTAGCAAAAATATGGCTGCTGTGTGATCTGTGCGTGGAATCTCCACTCAAACAAAATGGCCAGAGTTTCCCTGCTGCTAACTCAGAAGAAAGCGATGTGCTGGCTTCTTGTTGTGTGCTGTGTGGTCTTACCTCGCTGGAGCTGCAAATAAGACCTACATTTTAACTTTTGTTACTGAATTACTGTATCTCTGATCCTAAAAGAGCCTGCTTTTGGATTGACATGCAGGTTTATTTACTTTGTGCTTATACAGCTGTGCTCTCTAAATAGGGAAAGGTACTGTGGAGAGTAGGTGGCAGAGCTGTTTTAATCCACTTCTACATTTGCATGTGTGTCACTTCTCAGAAGAGAAGGGCACATTTTCATGTTTTCGTTGTGCTTGCCTAGCTCTGCTCATCACTGCTACTTACTTTATATGAAATCTGCATGTCATTTAGATTGATACTCTAAAGTTGGGGTATAACACTGGAGACTCTACAGAATTGGGGTACGGTGCAGCAACACAGGATCCTTGTCCCTTTCTGATTCCTGTAACTGCAGGTACACTTTAAATGAGTTGGCAGACTTTAATTTTCTTTCTCCCTCCAAGAACGTTACTGGCATTCCAAGAAAGACCAAGTAATTTCTGTATGTAGATTATTTTGAAATTGGGGATTGAATGTTGAATGTTTCTGTCCCTCAGTGTGGCTCTCTCTTTTTTTTAAACAGGATGTATCAGGACAAACTGGCTTCTCTCAAGAGACAGTTGCAGCAGCTGCAGGAAGGTTGGTGCATGACTTAGTCTTCCCTTCTGAGTATAGTTCCTGATATTGCAAGCCTGTGAAATCTGAAATCTGTGTTTCACTGCTCTTTGGGAAGGATTCCAGGTCTGGTTCGGCTGATTTGGGCTACCCAGTATGCATTTTGCACTTTTGTTGTCAGTAAAGTGATGAATTTTGAACTGTTACCTCAAAATCTCACATAATATGTTGTATAAAACATGGCTGTGAACACCACTGTAGCTAAAGCTAGACACTTTGAGGAGATTGTTACTCAAGGATGAAGCGGGGCTGTCTTTGTAAACTGAAAGCTCAGTAAACTGAGTTGTCCTTGGTGCTCTCCTGTGGCTGCTGACTGAGACCAGTTGCGTCTGGCCCCGCGCCGCCTGCAGTCAGAGGCAACCCTGTGTGGGTGATGTGTGCAGGCTCTGGGGTGCCATCACGGGTGGAGTCCCAGCTTCGCTACTTTCTGGCGCCTGACCCCAGACACGTCACTTTGCATTGCCTAATTTGTTTAACCTGTGAACTAAAGCAGATGGGAGGGTGGTACTCGGAGGGACTGGCACCGAGGTGTGCTCTAGGGGGCGCGGCGACCGGCAGCTGGTGCAGGAACTGACTCGTGGGCTTCGTATTGTGGCATCTTTGGCAGGAAAACTGCTTCTCCGCGTGGACCAGCCAGCCTATCTGAGGTTGATTTCTTACTAGTAAAAAATGTTTCCCTGAGTGGCACTCACATATCTTTTTTTTTTTCTTTCCATGATAATGGAACTCATGGGAAAGAAATACAGGCCACTCTAGCAGATCTGTAGGCCTGACTGGTGTGGCTGCGTGGGACATTTTGAATAAGATGCCTTTAACACTTTCTGCTACAGCCCTGTGGAAACAGTTCTTGGCGCTGCTGAAATACTTGGGGCCCTCATAATTTGCTGCTTGAGGGGAGAGCAATGAAATAAGTAGAGATTTGGGAAGAGTCACTACCCTGGTTGTCCTGTACTGGCACTTGGCACTGTGCTGTTTACCTGGAACTAGACAAGGTGCTCTCTTTTGGCCACTGGCTCAGAAACGAGTTCATCGTTTCATACTTCAGCTTCTCATTTGCACAGGGCGCATTGCAGGTGCCTAGGAGCTGTGTGTCATTAGCTGCTCATGTACTGGGCAGTACAGAATGTATTTCCACCACTGCAGAGACTTTACTGAAGGAGAATGAGCCTTTTCGAGAAAAAAGAGACACCTGTTGCTTTACCCCATAGCAGAAAGCGATCAGGGTGGCCTTAGTTTGGCCACAGCGCTCCCCTACCCGGAGAGGGTCGTCGGCCCGTGGGGTGGGTCGTTTCTGCTGTGGGCCTTGGTTGAGAACCAGAGTCTAGTTTGGCTCCGTTGGGTATGGCTTTCTCCTTGGTTTGTATATTACTCTGAGGTTACTAAAATAGTCACTTTTACTGCTAGGAAGTAATTTCAGGTAACAGTATAGAGCAGTTTGAACTTTGCGAGTAACCTTTTATTTTGTGAATGTTCAAAATCAGGTACATTACAAGAATATCAGAAGAGGATGAAAAAGCTTGATCAGCAGTACAAAGAGAGGATACGAAACGCAGGTAAGGCTGGATCACAAGTGGAAGTAAATCACCTTCTGGTTTTCCACCTTTGCCCATCACCTCTCTACTCTGGCTGTAAGGCCTCTTCTCCAGAATGTATCCCAATCACCCTGCAGTGAGAGGAGATGTGAGGAGAAGAGACTCCCAAGCTACAGTTGTGTACAGGGGTTCTTCTTTCCCCCATTGCCGAAGAGATGGTGAAGTGGAGGCTGGGAGGGTGGCTCTTCGCAGTGAGCTTAGTCCCTGGGCCCAAGCGCTGTTGCACACATTCTCAGCGTGCGCGTCTGGCTTCATGGACAGTCAGGGGCTGACCTGGGCAAAGGGTGACAGTTGTTTGGCTTCTGTTTGAAGTTTGCTTCTTTCCCTGTCCTGCACTGTGGGAGGGAAGGGAGCCTCAATTTGCTTCTCTCTGGTGTGCAAGTGTAAGCGTTTAGAGGGAGAGAACGTGCTTTGGTATGTTCTACTCAGTGCGTTCATTTATTGAGCATCTGCTCGCTCTGAGCACTGATAAAGAATCTCGCGACACGTTGGCCCTGATGTTAGGAAACTCTGGCGTATGGATGAGCAGCATCTGAACGTGAATTTAAGGCATGCTACAAGTTAGGAATTAAGCAGGAAGGTTGATGACAAGTCGAGAATGTGCAAACGCAGTGCCTTTGCTAACAGGAGAGCTCTCAGTGTTGATTTTGAAACTCTTACTCAGCCAGTATTTTGAATGGCAGCAGGGAACTGGTTCCAACAGTGACCCACCCAAGTGCTGCTGGGTGTTAAAAGGGGGTTTGGGGGCGCCTCTCCTCAGATGCTGTCCTCAGCTTCTGGTCCAATGACTTCAGCTTTCTGTCAAAAGTTAGCACCCTTCCTTGTGGTTCCTCTAGTGACTAGCTGTCCAGTGTACCCCAGTAGATCTAAAAGGAGCTAAAGGTGTGGGGTGCCAGGAGAATGGTGATACTGCCATTAGCCTCCTGCCTGCCCATGTCAGTCCTGGCCTTGCTGTTACCCCTACCCACTTCATGTTCCTGAGCACCCTCCTTGGGATCTCATGGATACCCTCAGCCCTCCCCCGGGTCCCTTGCAGCAGGTGGCTCTGTGGAGGGTGATGTCTTCTATCACTTCCAGTCTGTGCCTTGTACGCAGGGATTTGCTCTGGGAGCCTCAGTTTCCCTATCTACAGAGGAGAATAGCTCATGGCATTGATTTAGGGAAAGGACATTGTTGTGAGCTGTTTTTCTGAAACTAAAACTGCTTTTAAAAGCACATTCAGAGCAGAGATAATCCACCTGCTTTCTTGAGTCTGGTGTCTGTCTGCCTTGTAGCCACCGTCAACTTTAGGTGCTAATTGTCAGTTTGACTTGTTGGTGCAGGTGTGAATTCTCGGAATGGCACAAGACCTCAGCTGCCTGGCCCGGGTGTGTGTGGTTCAAGTCTGAAACAGTCATAGGAACGATCTTGCTGGTCTCCTGTGCCCAGAAGGTCACAGTGTCAGAGTGATCAGGGCTTCTGAGGGTTCAGGAAGTAAGCACTGGCTTGTCTTCCTCAGCCACTTCCTCATTCAACACTGTTCATTGGCATCTGGGCTCCCAGAGTGGAGTCCTTGAAACTCAGAACCCCAGAAGTATGTGTGTATATATACGTATGCTTTTTACGGGGAATGGGCCCACAGGATTTAGGGGGTCTGCAAGGAGACGATGGTGAAATGTGAATGGCACTCCTGGAGTTGGTGGTCACCAACTCCAAATGGTGGACCATTTGCAGCAGACCACTGTTGCCCAGAAAAGCGTCCAAGCCAGGGACCTATTTTGTTCCCACTTACTGGGTTAGTGAACCATAATCTGGCAGTGGGTAAGCAGCTGCTGCTTGCCTGACACACAGTGGGTGTTAAGCAAGCGGTCAAATACCTGGGGTAGATATTTGGAGGTGCGTCGGGGAGGGGAGGCAAGTGAAGGCTCATCAGAGGAGCCTCCTAGCTGAGGCTTCTTCACTCAAATTGGATAAGCGGTGGGACAGACTGGAGGACATTGCCTGAGGCAGCGTGGGCTTGGCCGAGGCTTAGCAGCCCAAGAGGAGAGCCCCAGAAGCCCTCGGAATTCTCAGTTCTTCCTGCTGACACAGAGCCCTCACACCCTGCTTTCAGAACAGTGCCTTTGCCTCTCCTGGAGCAACTGTCTGGTGTCTTTCTGTCCCAGCCTGCCTTTTTGGGACAGTCCGAGGGCCTGTGCTGAGTGGAAGAAGGGATGACTTATTTCAATAGGGTGGTTCCTTTCCTGACACTTGTTTTGCCCTTGGGCAGAACTGCCAGAGCTGATTCTGTTGAGGGCCAGATTTTAACGAGATGCAAGTGCTTCTTGCCTCCTTCCCTTCATGTATATCAACACTTCACTGATGAAAAACATTTGCTCTGTGCAACCGCGCTTTCAGAAAGCAATTACTGCTTCTAAATGAATCCTAACATCACTGTCTAGAAGGGCGCCACTGCCTAGCGAGTCTAATTGCACTTTTTATCTCTTTCAGAACTCTTCCTCCAGCTGGAGGTAAGCACTGCGGATCTTCTGGGGTAGTTTGCAAGCTCTTTCCCAGACTGGAGTCTTGCTCTTCCGATCCAGTGACCTTTCCTCTGTCCCCATGTCGAAGGTGTCACCATGTCGATGGCGTCCACCCGAGCTGGAAGTCTGAGGCCTGCTCTGTCTGCCTGAGGGACATGTGGTCTCAGTTCAGAAACCCCAACTCTTCACTTGCTGGCTGTGCAGCCTCTGCTTAGCACAGGGTCTGAAGGGGAGCTCACCCCTCACTGTTCTCATTGACTTTTCTCTTAGATTAATGCCACTTGGGAGTGGGCCTGACTTACAATGGCTTAATATTTGTTATCCTGTGACTGGACTGCCTCCACAGTTGAGTTTTACCATAGAAACTCTTCGGGTCAGTAGAAAGGACACATTCAAAATTTTTCCTTTCACGCAGCATGCCGGAGTGCTGGTTCTGTGGGAGGAGCAGGCTGTGGGGCGGAGACGTGGGCGTGGGAGGGGCTGGTCTTCCCGAGCCTCCTTGTTGGAGCCATTGATTGGCCTCCCGAGGCAGTGCAGCTTGTGAGCCCCCACCCACCCTGAGGCCTGTTCCCCACTTACTGCAGCCTATGGTAAGATTTAAAAAATGGATGCCACGGCAAATTTTAATTGATGATAATTTCATCGTTTCAGTACTTCAGGCACCTAATAAATAACCTACTCTAGCTGCACTGTATGTTACCGTTAAGTATCAAAAAATATAGTAACAGGCCATCCTGACTCATTAGCTTGTGATTAATTTTAAATGTAGATGTTTCATCAGGAGCTTTTTTTTTGAAAAGTGTCCTTTAAAGGCCTTATTTACTATTTTTGAGGCATGCATGTTCTGTTTGAACTCACTATCCATGAGGCGTGAGGTGTGGACGAGAGGACATGCCTGAGTAATTGTGCTCAAGGGGAGTGGATGAACATGGGGTGCTTTTCGTCCGCCTGTTGGGACACAGACCCTGCCCTGCATGTCGGGCCACCTCTCGTCCTCCTAGGAAAGGGTCTGCCTTCGCGCCTGCGTGCAGAGCTGGGCTTGAAGTCGGCGCTTTGGCTGCCAGAGCCGCATTTCCCATGCCTGTGTTTCTCTTTTGCTCAGACGGAACAAGTCGAGAGAAATTACATTAAAGAAAAGAAGGCAGCAGTGAAGGAATTTGAAGACAAGAAGGTTGAGTTGAAGGAGAACCTGATTGCTGAGCTCGAAGAAAAGAAGAAAATGATTGAGAATGAAAAGCTGACCATGGAACTGACTGGAGGTAGGAAGGCAGGGCCCTGGGAGCCCCACTAGGGCCCTGAGAGACCCCCCGCCACTGTCAGTGCCTCCGCAGAGCGGCGCCAGCTAGGGGGTCAGGCACATGCCGTCCTGGACTCTGTGACTTTAGGCAAGCTCTTAGCCTTACAGCTGCCCCTTTATAAAATGGGGCAGGTCACACCCAGCCTTAGCCTTGTGGGATTTGAGCAGAAATAGGAGTGTCCAGTACACGCCCTGCACATAACAGGCATTCTGTAGATGCAGGCTTTGCATCAGTGTGGCCTCTGGGTTATTTTTTACTTATTTCTGGGTCAGCTGCCACTCCTGTCTTGGTTAGGCTCCCGAATTACTTACCACAGCCCTCTGTGGTGATGGAAATCCCTCTGCTTTGGTTTCTTTTTAGTTGGCCTTAATTACAGAAAAGGCATAGTCTTCCTTTGACCTAGATGTAAGAACAAAAGCCTTTGACTGTCTAATCGCTGCTATTAGGGCCCTCCCCCCACCCTTACTGGAACATCTCAGAGAAAGTTGTTAGGATTTTAGCAGGGGTAATCACACTGCACAGTTTCCTGAAAGGTGGTCAGATCACGTTAGACTCCCAGCCGAGCCCCCCTTAGCTTTCTAGGACTTAGTAGTCTGCATATGGGGACCCAGCAGGTTGCAGGCAAGCTTAAAGGAGAAGCAGTGTGGGTTGACTCTTCTGCCATATGTAGACAGATGAATCTAGAATACCAGGCAGGAATTGGCTTGAACCGTAGCTACTTTGGAAATTGGCAAAATTTCTGCCATCAAATACTGTGAGGCATTCTGCACACTCCAAAATTTTTTGATAATTGTATTCAGAAAGCATGGGGGGTCTGGGGTGTCTTACATTAGAAGAGGTCCATGAGTGCTGCGTTGTTTTCATGTAAGTCTTAGAGATGAACTGTGGAACTAAGAGTATGTTCGAAAGCTGTGTTTCCTCCTGTTTCTGGTGCTGTGAATCAAGGTGGCCTTTTGACATAACTAGCTCTACTCTCACAGTACACGCAGAAGACTGGTTGTGTTTTAAGTAGGGGACTGACTGGAAAACTCTGTTGGTTCTTTATTGAAAACTTGACTCAGATTTTTTGTTTTCTTTCTTTTTTCGTGAGGATGGATGATAATCTCGTATCCGACAGCGCTGTCCTATTCTTTGGAAATGCCTCTTTAGTTAGACTGCTGGCCCTCGGGTACCTTGTCCAGTACCAGTCTGCCTGCCAGCTTTCTGGCCTGCTCCCCATTTTCTCTGAACTTGGCTGTGGCTGGCACTGATGCTTCATCGCTCTCTGCCTGAGCCACCAGATGTTTGGGAGCCTTCATTAGGCTGGTGGGAAATATTGTCAGTTTATAGCTGCTCCCTTCCCATCTGCACGGAAGGATAGCATCACCTTACCTGTGATTTGGCATCCTAATTATTGACAAGCTATAAACATTGTTTGGCCAGGCAGTTTTACAGCCAGAGTCTTAACTGGGACAGGCGGCCTCCTCAGTGACTTGAGACCGAACCTGCCAGGGTAGAAAAGACAAATAAAGTCAGGGAAATCATTTGTAACGCAGTAAAATAGATAACAGAAGTGTTTAAAGCTAGCCGTGGGCATGAAAGGCACCGATGCCCTTCCTCAAGCCATGGGGTACCCTTGGTAGGGAAAGCACTGCCAAGGTAATGAGAGAGTGTCGGAGAAGAGGCATTGGAGCTAGAAGGATAATGAGCGTTTCCACAGATGGTGCTGCCATGGTGGTGGATTAAGGCCTGGTTTCAGTCGTCTGATTGAGTGACTTATTTTACCTTTGTGGATTGCTGCCCAGTATCCATGTTGTCTGGCCCTGCCAGGAGAGTGATTTCTTAGTCTCCTTTTTTGGGTTAACCTGAAGATCTTGAAAAACAAAGTGGAATAAGAGGATGATGAGATGCTTAGTTCAATTAACTTGTTGGAGACAGTGGCATCTGGGTCACTAGCCTCTGAGCGTGCTCGGGGGAGCTCTTCCTCACCACCCCAACCTGTTTGGAGATTGTTCAGACAGCTGGGTGGAGCAGGCAGGAAGTTGCAGTGTTGCTCAATGGTCTCAACACTGTAACAGCGGGCTTACAGTCAGGGCTCCCCCAAGTTGAAAGTGTGCACGAGTCACCTGGCTGTCTTGATAAAATGCAGCTTCTGGTCTGGGGGTCTGGAGTGGAGCCCCAGGGCCTGCATCCAGCTGCCTGCCAAAGTGCTGCTGACGCTGCCGAGAGCCGCCCTAGTGGCAGGGTTATGGGGGGGATTTGCTCGAGTGTTACTTTGCTTTGAAGTTGAGGCCAAGGTTGTAAGTAACCTAAAGAGTCGAGAATGTAGTGAGCTTAAAATATGGGGAGCTTTTTCCGTTTTATAGTATCCCCTTCATGCCTCCGGGATTGTTGTCTCTTCTTTCTTCCTGCAGCCCTTTTACTACCATTTCATTATTTTTTGTAAGTTCTTGCTCACTTTCAAGCCTCTGGTCCCTGGTCGAAGCTCCTCATAGCATAGGTAAAACCTACGAGTTTCCTTTAGAACACCCCAGATTCATAGCCGGAGTCAGGTGTAATGATCATATCAGAATGCATGCTCTGACTCCTGAGCACTTACGTTGTGTGTGTTTGAATCACACGAAAATACGAGAACCGCCTCTGCAGGCTGACAGGCGTCGGCGAGTCCTGGCGCCGTTGAAGTCTGTGTTCTGTGTTGGTCTTCCCTGTTTGGCGAGGTTCTGACAGAACCTGCTAGAGGGTTGGCGTGAAGGTCAGATGAGCTGATGCCTGAAGGTGCTTCAAGGAGTGGCTGGCTGGAGGCAGATTCCACTCAGGGCTGGGGAATGTGATGACTTGGGGAGACATCCCGTAAGAGTGTGGCATGGACAGTGGAGTTTGTCAACGTGCCAGTTTCTCGGGAGATGGTGCGCCGGTCTGTGGCAGCCTCCCAGGAGGGGGAGTGTTGAGCTGCCTCCAGCAACATGCAGGAGTAGACTGGGCGGGGAGGAGGAAGCAAGGCTGAGAGGAGCTCTGTGCAGAGGCTTCAAGGCATGACAGGTATCTGTGAGGGTGCATGTGCCGCTTGGCCTTTGTCCCGTGGAGTGGCAATCCACTGGACTACGCGGTGGGCAGTGCTGTGCCTCATGACCTGGATCGTGTCTCCTGAAGAATTCCCAGAGGGAGCAGTGGGCGACTGGGAGCGGGAGCAACTTGGAGGTCAGTGGGGCAGGTCAGAGGCAGAACTCTGCATTATCTGCTGAATTCGGTGCCCACAAGAAGGAAGACAAGTCAGATGACAGAGTTGTTGCAGCATGGCAGGAAGGAAGGCTGCAGTGCCCCTGGGAAGTGAGAGGACGAGAGGACATGCGCTCGCGGCAGCCTGGAGAGCTGGGCCGCAGGTGCAGGTGCCGTTGAAAGGGCAGCGGAGCTGGTGATGGAGAGGCGTGGGCGGCGGGCGCCTGCAAGGCTGGACCCCAGAGCTTACCAGTAGAAGGGAACCCAAGGAAGCCAGTGAGGCGAGAAGGAAGGTTTGTGTGGTATCAGCTGGGGAGGATCTTGAGGTGAGGGGCACCAGCAGCAGGGGCGCTTTGTGGAGCGAAGTCGAGAATACTGAAGAGAGGCCTTTGTCGCAAGTCTTCAGTATGTCATCTTGATTCAAGTAGCTACAAAGGGTCAGAAAAGGAGGGGCAGTTTGTAAGTGAAGACCTCATAAAAAATGTTGGCACTGACACCAGTGGCCTCTGGAAAACCTTTTACACCAGTGGGCTTCAGACCCCCGCCTCTCTGCGAACAGCAGGAATCCGTCAGCTCTGGTCACCAGAGGCTCCTGCCACTCCCAGCTTATTTTGGGGGAGAGCGGAAGCCCCCCAAGCTAGCTTTTAGGGTGCCGGAGAGACACCTGCACGGTGCACTGCTAGGCTGTGCTTGGCCAAGGCCGCAGCGGGGGTCTTCGCAAGTCTGCCTGGGGGGTGGCGGCAGATCCTGTCACCCTAGAAGTTCTTACTGATTTCAGGAGGGGGAGATAGAGTCACCCACTTCATTTTGCCACAGATTCCATGGAAGTGAAGCCCATCATGACCAGGAAGCTGCGGAGGCGACCAAATGACCCCGTCCCCATCCCGGACAAGCGGAGGAAGCCGGCGCCTGATATCCGTTTGCATCGAGCCTTCATCACTTTCTCTTGAAGAAATCTGTTGAGTCCTTTGCCGCTCCAGTTGCTACACATGGCCACTGTCCCTCAGTCATGTGTGCCTAGAATGTACAAAGTCCCCCTGTGAGATAGGGCTTAACTCCCCCCTCCCCCCGCCTTTTTTTTGTGTGTGTGGGTGTCCTCCATGGCTACTTGTAGAGGGAGGGATTGCTAGAGTGGTCATTTGGACAGGTATTTTGTGCTGGCTGTTCACCCTGCTTTTAACATTCACTTAATATATATAGGGATAGTACAGTGCTATGTGCCTTAAACTTTGCACCTGCAAAATAAGGGTGGTAGTTACCTGCCTCTTGTTCTTCAGTTATCTGTGCCCCTAAAACAGTGACGTGCGAATTGTTTTTAACTGAAAGCAAATGAGATTTCAGCCAGACATAAAGTGGCCCTTTTAATCATAAAAATGGGAATGGGAGGAGGACATGGGCAAGTTGTTTCTGTATCTTCTTGAGATAATTAGCCATTTGTCTAAAAACACTGTTATGTTTCTGCCACCGGAAAGGGCACAACTTCAAGATTTAAGTCACCAGCAAAAATTAACTGTGTGTTTGAGTGTGAGTATGTGTAGTCTTCTGCTCTTTGAAACAGTAGCACTTTGTGAATTCAGGATGAAATTCTTCTTCCATGTTCTGTGCTCTCACTATTGTCGTTACCTAATGAATCTCATTCCCCATTTCACTGAAGAAGCCTGTTAGGAGTAGGATGTGAAAGAATTCTTTTACATTCCTGGGCACCGTGGCATTTCGTAGGAGAACCATCAGCTTCCCAGAGGCAAGCTGTTACTGTAAGCCCATCATCTAACAGTGCACATTGTAAATTGTAAAAGAAACAGTACCAATTGCCCATTTCTATTTATTTGGAAATCAGGCTTTTCTGGCACATTCCTTTAACTCTCAGCACCCCAGCTAAACTATTTGCTAACTGATGAGCAGATCATGGAGGATCTAAGGACGTTAAATAAGGTACAGTTGGATTTTTTTGATTATTTGAGAGCTTAGGCTCAGTATGGTTGTCTGCTTTACTTTGCTCAGTTGTTGTAACTTGTTAAATCATTTTGATACCTTTGACACCTTAAGTTGCATCTGAAATGATTTTTCGCTAAGATGTTTTGTTGTTATTCTTCCTACAGCTTAAGTCACCCAAGAGACCAGGTAAGTCTGGATTGTTACTGGCATTTTGTGCAATATGTTTTATCAAGTTGTTGGAAAAGTATGTGACTATCTGACTGGGAATTGTTGCAGTTCTCACAATAAAATGTTCATCCTTTGCCTGAGAGTAGTATCCTGAAAACTGAGGGAACCTTACATGCACCTCCCCTGATATTTTTTTTTAATGACCCTGCTTTAAAGCTATTTTTATCTTTCCCTTAGAATTTACTGTAAAAGATACATGTGATTGATTGGCTGGTAGTGGCTTCCTTCTATGTAGGCATCAGGCTTAGGGCTTAAGTAAACAGCTGTTTCGGAAAAGGAAGCCAGAGGGATGTTCCGTTGTCGCTGGCTTTCTGGCAGCTATGTGGCCTGGCTCTGGGCAGGGACAGGCGGGCTGCCCCGAGGCCCCCAGAGGGGGCTTGGCCCTGTGTTCACGGCTCCTCCCAGAGCAGCACCGGTGGCTTGATGCTAGGTGGCAGGATAGAATTCCAAACTGGTAAGGCCGTTTTGTGTTGAGCACTGTCGTTACTCACACATCCCTCCACCTGCTGAATCTTGCTGAAGAAAACAGGAGTTGTCTTTCTCTAAGTTGCCTCCTGAGCCCGGAGTTTTATTGAATTCCCATTTATGACAGCTGGGAGGGCTTGATGACCACGACTGTCACTGCCTTGCAACATTTCAGTTAAGCATGTTAGCTGGTGGACTCACTGCATCTTTCCTGCCCAGAGTTGAAATGTCTCTTTGGTTCCTTTAGCGTCCCCATCTTCTCCTGAACATTTACCTGCTACACCTGCAGAATCTCCAGCTCAGAGATTTGAAGCTCGTATAGAAGATGGCAAACTGTACTACGATAAAAGATGGTAGGTAATACCAACACCTAGGTTGCTTGTGAGAGTCTCAGAAGAGCCTGTTGGCAAGAGGATTCTCTGCTAAAAGTTACTTCAAAGCGCGGCCGCTGCTCAGCTGGCCGAGTGCTGAGAGTCGAGCCGTTTTAAAGCACATCAGCAGGCGTTGGGCCCCTACTGTTAGTGGGGTCTCTGAAAGTGGCATTTCCTCAAAGCCTTCTTCTGAACGCTCTGCTGCTGTCACCCCGGTCTCCTCCTGCCCTGCCACCTTCTCTTCTTGTGCCCCTCTGTGCCACCATGAATCAGTACTCTGGGAAAAAAGGGATTTTGTGGTCAGATAGGCTTGTGGGACGATCATGTTAAGTTAAATGTAACTCTCAGGGCCTCTGATGGTCTCTGGCTTGTCATGGGGGTTTTAAGATGCTATTTGGTATTACTTATTTTCTCTCTGCCTCATCCTACTGTGCAAGCATTGAATGAAACACACTTGGGGAGTGGGGCCCTAAAACATCACTACTCTAGATGGAAGACGAAAATCTTCAGCCTGCCTACATGTTCACTGGGGAAGAAATGGCAAAACAATATGAGAGCCCTTAATAGTCAGTATTTATGCTTGCAGCATTTCCTGTCTGCCTTAGGTTAGGCCTTTTGCTGGGTGCCAGCCCCTTTCCACAGTGCCCAGCTGTTGTTTTTCTTTCTGCTTTGTCCCTCCACCTGGCCACTCACTCAGTGTTGGCCGTGGTAGACACGTGTTTGTGTCCTGCCTTGAGAGTGGATTCTGTGGAGTGTTGCTCTCATGATTTGTAATTGTCCTTGTCTGGTGATCTTTTGTGTTTTAGCATATTGAAAGTTTCAAAATTTCAATAAATGGTTCTCTTGAATTTCCTGAGCTTGCTTTCAAAAGCCAACTTTGTGGAAGTTGGTTACCTTTATAACGTTGTGCTTCTGAAGTTGGCAGAAAAGTGTAGCCATCTAGTCATGCCTGAAATAAAGCAGTTCTACTCATTGGGCTTCAGTGCTGAGTCACCCAGGTGTTGATGAAGACTTACCTTGTGTGTTACCTGCTGGGTGACTTCTGCCCCCTCAGTGAATCCTGTGGTACCTTTGGAAAGGCCAGTTACCTGTGTTGACGTCGCTCTGAGGCCTCATCACCGCTAGGTGGCAGGCCCTCACAGCTCAACACCCTGGGTAAAGTAAGATGAAAAATGTTGCTAATAATGAAAACCAAATAACCTTTAAAGATCAAGCCCACACATAAGAACCATCTTCAAAAAAGATGAGATTTATCACTAACATTTTTACGGATCTATGATTCTTCAGGCCATGTGATATTTCAAATGATGTTCATTTTGTAATTGTGTTGCTTCAGATCTTCTTTCTAAGGCTTAATCCTTAGACTTTATGAGACGTGTCTTGAGGGTGAAGATGCATAAAATAAAAATCTTGTTTTTCTAAAGTAAAGCTCCATGATGACCTATGTTTCATCATATTAACAGACAGGTCTGGTTGAGGTGTTAGATCTCCTAAGCATTTTGAAGGAATTTCTCCATCTTCCCTACAATGGCACCATCAATTTAAAAATGAGGTCTCTGAGCATTTTATTTTTTCGACAAATTTAAAATTATTTGTTTTTTTCAATATTGAGAATGGTGTCTTGGTGTCTGTAATTCCCTTCTTTGACCCTGGGAGTTAGAGTTCATGACACATTTGTTGCGAGCTGGATCCTCGGTTCCCTGCTGCCATGGAAGGTGTTTGTGGGAGTCCAGGCTGTTGTTTTCACCAGCACACAACGCGGGTCTCACGTCTCCCCAGGCCCTCGGCTTCTAGCTTTTGTTTCCTCATTAGTTCAGAGATTTTCATTTTTCCTCATTTTTCAGCAGCCTTGGTCTGTGGCAGAGAGGTCAGCTGAATCGCTTTATGCTCTTTCCAGTGGTGTGGAATCTGCTGGTGAAACAGTATTTCTGTCCAAACATGTTTCATTGAGTTTTAAATGACTTCAGCAAAATGTGTGTGATTCAGGGTTCCCATTCTGGCATGAACACTTATCAAGCTACATTTCACTTTGAAAGATAAGCATCTTCCTTTTGCCTTGATCTTCTACAGCTCTTAAGGCATTTTATGGCCTGCTGTAAGTTTCTCTCACATTTTGATTTGGACTAATGACCCTTCTTAGAAACTACTGTGAAAGTAGCTGATATTTTAAAATAACTAACTAACTGATAGTGCTGGTGGACTGTTTTTCTCTCCTCGTTTAAATTTGGAGCTGCTAATGTGAATCAGAAATGAAGTCACCTACTTGCTCAAGTGGATTTAACCCTCCAGCCTTCCACTGCTGACAAAAGCCTTGCTGTAAAGTGGCGGATGTTTGCAGTTAGATAAGTGATTTCTTGTATTTCTATAACATGGCATTTGTTTTGTTTGGTGTTTTGAAATGAAGCATTAGTAGCAGGATCGCCAGAGGCATTCAGATTAAATTAATTCTACCTTCTACTTGCCCCACTTTTTGACCCACCTTCTGAAGAAATTGCTTTCTTCCGTAATGGTAGTGGTGATTCTAGTTCATTGGGTTTAATAGTGGAGGTAAAGCTTTAAGAGCTTAATTGTAGGGATTCCCAGGTCAGAATTTCCATTAGTAATAAAGTAATAAAGTCTGTTTGACTTCAGGGGCTTCTCCTCTGAAACTGTTTAAAGCAGATTTTCAGCAGAGATGAGTTGCAGCTTATAAAATGGATAATTGGCAAAAAAGTGATAATGTACATTTTACTAAGTTCTGTTGATGTTGCTTATCAACATTCTTCATGAATTCTTTCCCCCTCTTTTATCAGTTTTTAGAAATTAAAAAGCAAATTTTATGTTGTTATGTTATCTAGACATTTTGGTTTCATCTTGAAATTACCTCCACCTCTCCCCTCTTACTCCCCCCCACCCCCCAGCACTTTAATTTCTAAGTGCTAATTTTTTTTCAGAGAAGAATTCAGATAATTTAATAATCTGCTGTCCTTAATATTGGCTCCTGGTGCCACGTGCAGTACCTGAGAGTTCCTAAGGGTCCCAGTGACCGGTTCAGGAGGCACTGGAAATCCTGGTTCACACGTGGGCTATATTGGCCAGATTTGCATTATGTGCAAGGGCGGCAGGCAGGCCTCAGGGTCCGAACACAGCTGGAGGTGTAGGAGACATCCCAGGACACCTGCTTGAGGTCTCCCTGCACTAACTGTTGTCTTTAACAGATGTGGAGCAGTTAATTTGTGGTACTGAGCTTGTAATGTAAGTGTTCTCCAGTATCATGACTTAAAAGGATATTTGCTTCTCTTTTATACAATAATATCTGGGGGTAAAGTAAAGCTGTTCAGTTTAAGAAATACCATTCCGTACCTTTTATGGTTTTATGAGATTTTAATATGCATTCAGTGTACATTTTACAAATGTACCCAATTGGGCTGTGTGTAGGCTGCATCTGCAGTATACTGTAAATAAGGAACAGAGTGGACCTGGTTTTCTCTCCAGGCAGCAGTATATTGAGGACCCGCTGCGGGAATTGTGCACTCCACAGCACACCCAAGGCCTTTCCTTGTTGGGCTATTAGAAAGCAGTGTGAGAAGGACTTAATGCTCGTGACAGGTTCTGTGTTTCCATCTCTGATAACTCATACTTCTCAGAACAGCTGAATGTTCTTCTCTGTATTTTAATTCTAACCATTACTCAAGATGTTGCTATTTATATAGAACATTTGGTTTAAATGTGCAGGAAACTTGAGTTTGAGTTGTGCTGAGAACTAGTTCAGTCTTTCCTCATGCAATGTATTATTCAGACCTTGAGATATTATATAGTTTAGCATAATGAAGGTGCCCTGACCCAGTTTACCAGCTAATCTCTGGCCAAAAGCAAGCTCAAAGCTAGGGTCTAAACCAATCTTGCTGTTCTAATTGCATTTATGATTCGATTTCTTGTAACAGTGTATTCAGGAAGTAAATTGACTTGAAACCTGAGTTTTCAGCTCTGAAGTAGCAGATTAAAGATCGCCTGGAAGCCTAGAACCTAGATTGGAAAAGCTTGTGTGGGAGTGAAGTGCATCCTTCACTGTGATGTCTTGGCAGTAGATTATGTCATTATATCAGCTAAACAGAGTCTTCCTTCTTCTCCCACACAAATTATAAGATGCTGTGCCTCGCTGTGAAATTTATTTTGATGGAGTTTACATGAGTTAGTGGTCTGTTTTAGCCAGATCTTTGCAATCAGAACGAACCTTTAGTTTATTGAAGAATGTTCTCGACCTGATCCAGCCTGGCCCAGCCAGGGCTGCTGGGAGCAGCTCAGCTAATGTGTTCAATTTCTATAATCCAGCAGCTGCTGTCTTGCCCTGTGTCACTGTTGTCTGTGTGGGCTTTGGCTCTGGTTTCCTTCAGCTTTTGCCTTTGGCCTTTTCCCCTCAGCTGGTAGACATTGGAGTTGGTCCTTCACCACTGGAGGGTTTCTGTGAGCTCTGCTCTATTAGAGGGAGGCTCTCCTGACTGATCAGCTGAATCAGATAACCCTTGGTGCACGTCATGACACTGAGAACTCGCCCTGGGGTGAGCTCTCCCTGGGGTAGTTCTTTCCTGTTGTGCCCTGCCCCTGCGTGGGGCTCTGGCAAAGGGTGCTGGTGCCTTGCTCACTGTCTGCCTCTAACCTTCGGCCTAGTCCCTGGCACGCAAGGAGTGATGGAGGGTTGAATTGCCTGCCGCCTTGTTGGGGACTTACTCGAACAAATTATTTAGGAACAATAGAACAAGTATTCAAGCCCATCTCTTTATTCTTCAGTGTTTCGGGGGAAGGGCCTGAAAGTGGGAACAGGGATTTTACTTGAAAAAATCTTAATTTCTTTTTTGAACTGGGATATAGTAGAAATAAAAAGTTAGATATGTAGTTTTCCTTTCTCTTTTATGGAAGGGCCATAGAATTATGTTTTAAATCTAGAAGATTTAGAAGGTCGTTTTATTGTATTCCAGGGAACTCAGACTCTTCCTCAAATATAAATGAAAATTCTAAATTTTATTTTTTATGGTCTATCATCCCATCCTCTCCTTTTTAAAAAAAATTTGTATCTTCAGTGATACAGTATTGTGTGCTTAAAAACTTTTGAGTGGAAGATCTTATATTAAGTTTCCTTACAAAGTAAAACCAAACCCACAAAAACAGTAATTACACTAAAAGGGCGGGAAGAAACTGGGAATGGGAGGGCAGGCCGTGGTTTTGGAAAAGGTGCTGGTGTCACAGGTGTATGCAGACTCCCAGGCTCACTGAGCTGCTCTGCAGAATCACGTGCATTGTTGTACATGTCATTCATGTCATAATAAAGTGACTAAAGAAAGAAATGTGTCATTTTTGGGCAGGTATCACAAGAGCCAAGCCATCTACTTGGAGTCGAAGGACAACCAAAAACTGAGCTGTGTGATCAGCTCTGTCGGAGCCAACGAGGTAGGGATGGAACCCCTTTGCCCTTTGGGGAAGCAAAGTGTGACAAACCTGAGCTGCCATGCCCCCCAGAAAGGGTGTGGGGTCTTGTCTTGTGTATGGGTTCGGTTCCCAAGCCAGCATTTGCAGACAGAACTTGCACACAGTCAGGGTCACCCTCAGAAATCCCTTACATAGCCTGACACATCCAGGGATGTGGCTATTCTGGTGGTTTGGGCCCTCGCTGCAAAGTAACTCTGCTGGGAACCTCTGTGCTAGGCCCACAGCAAAGAACAAAGGCAAGTCTGTGATAACCCTGCAGGCCGTCCTGCTTCTCAAGGTGACATCTGCTGGGCGTGGAGCTGGCCTGTGGAGTATAATCCATCTTTGTAGTACTTCGCGAGAACTTTCATATGCAGTAATAGATTTGTTTTGTGCTATGAGGTCTTAATAAGGAGCCTGGCGAGGTTCTGGCACACCGTAAGTGCTCAGTAAGCAGGTACAGGCCACACACACTATTCCTTGCTTGCTCTCTCTGGTCTGACATGTCCCTTGCCCAATGACCAACTAGCTGCTGAGACCTTTTGTGCTGGTCTCAGTCATGCTGTGCAGTGGGGACTGGTTCGGATACTCAAGGGTGGCCCACTGACCCGAGTTCCCCATTGGGTCCTTCACTAGGAGGCCGTCAGCAGCACGCATCCAGTATTGTTAGTAGTTTTCAAAAGCTTAAAGCTTGAGTAGCTGCACCAGCTGGATCTCCTATCAGCCCACAACTCTCTGCAAAGAAATTGATTGTGTGTCTCCCTGCAGTAACGCATACGGCCAGTGCTCAGGAAACCTAATGAAACTGGATTACGAAACAACTTAAGCCTCTTCTATTCTCCCAGCTTCCTGAATTGAAAATGCCGTCAAATGTGACTAGTTTGCAAACTGATTGTTTACTTACAAGTTAGGGAGAGCCTTCCACATAAATGACCGCCATTCTCTGGGCTCAGTGTCTGTCTCGCCGAGGAGCAGGAGCAGGGCAGGGCTCTGATGACAGACCTGAGTCACACACGCAGGAGGTGTCGGGATTTCCCAGCAGAGCTGGATCTGGCCACTGTCCAGCGCGCTAGTGGCTCCTGTACCGTACCACAGTGACCTGCCGAGCCAGTGCAGCATTCTCTGTGACACCTCCAGCTTCTCCGTGAAGAAGAAACAGAAATAGAAATACGAGTTGGATGATTTTCACGCACTCCCTGTTGAGGATTGTCACCCTGGACACAATAGAGTGGCAGGGAGGCCTTACAAGGAAGCCAACACAGACACGCCCCCCAAGAGTGGAGGCACCTCAGTGCGGTGGAGGCCGGAAGCTCTGGGAATGGGAAAGCTTTTCCACTTCTTGGAAACTTTCCTTATTTTTCAGGTCAAATCCTATGCGGCACCAGAGCCACCTGACCCGTGCATAATTTGACTGGAGCAGATTTGGTGGGTGGGTCCGAACACGTTGGGGATTTGCCAGTTCAGCTCTCCTTGGGATGACTTATTTAAAAGTGGTTCTGCGAGGTCCAGCAGAAGCTTCATGTGAGGTCGTTACCGTACTTTAAATTAGTGCATTTGACTTTGAAGTCTCTTACTAATTACTCGTGTTAAAGAAATTGAGGTAAAATGGAGAATTTGTTTCAAATCTGGAAACAGACTGCTGGGGGAATGAGGAGATCTATCGTCAAGTTGCATATATGGGTGAGTCAGGCGTTTAAAGAGTCAGTAAAGAGTCAGGCTTATGGCTCCATCTAATTGCTTGTTAATTGAGCTGATGAGAAGGATCCTCAGGGATTCATGTTGCAGGAAGAGCAGGGATATTCAGAGGCGCCAGGATTCGAAGTGGACAAGTGCTTGGGGCCTTGTTTTTCCAAAGACGGGGGTGACCAGGACATTTATTTTGTAGGGTGGTTCTGAGCAACAAGAGACTCAGCTCAGTGTCTGGCACATGGAAAGCCCACGAGCGTCTTGCTGGGGTTTGGCAGGCTGGAGGCACGGAGGAACTGCCGCCCTTCCAGCCTGCTGTGGGGACGCCAGCTCTTGGCGTCAGCCCCGACATCCCCCGGCTGCAGGAGTTCATTCTCAGTTCTCTGCAAGAATGCATCTGCCCTGTGAAATGCAGAACATCTGATAGCATCTGTGGGAGAGAGCTGCTGAGGAGAGCAGGACCGTCTTAAGCTAACTCCACTTTCTCGTGATTCTAATTGGGCCTTCGCTCACTTCTGGGCATCTTTTTTTGTTATTATTTTTTCCTCCTTTTCTGTCACAACCATTAGCCTTAATTGGCAGGGAACCAGAGAACTGAAAGCTTTAATATGGAAGTCCCTTGGAGTAGGGAAAGTATTTCCAAATTATCTTGAAAATTTATGTTCATGAATATGTGTCCTGAATGTTGATAACGCTCAATCAAAACAGATTTTAGAAAACGCTACGACCAAGGCCACGGCAGAACCCACGATCACGCGCTTCCATCTTCTCAGCAAAGTTGTGAGGCAGGAGGCTGGGGAATGAGGTCCAGGGCTGACACCTGCTTTCTGCACTGGAGGCCGCAGGCCCCGCAGGTGTGGGCGAAGGGTCGCCAGTTGAGGGGTCATTTGAGGAAGAGGTGGCCACTCTTGTGCCCACCAGCACTCATGCAAACATTCTGATGCCCTGAGGACTGGCGCCTCGGTGTCAGCCTTCTCATCTGGTTCCCTGTCTTTCTCCCTGCCAGATCTGGGTGAGGAAGACCAGCGACAGCACCAAGATGAGGATTTACTTGGGCCAGCTTCAGCGCGGGCTCTTTGTGATCCGCCGGAGGTCAGCGGCCTGACTTTCTACAGGGTTCTTCCCTTGATCTTCTTTCTGGAGTGGTTTTGGTTTTGTTTTATTTTGTTTTCTTCTTAATAGAAAATTTTTAACTTGAGCTGGCTCATTGGCCTTGGAAAATGGAGAACACTGTTGTGGATTCTGCACAGACCGTTTGTGGCCATCCACTTCCATCTTTGTGCCCGCCTGCGCCTCGACTACTCCGTCAGCCATCTGTCACCACGAGACTTACTGGGAGTGTTGTCAGTTGGATCGACTTACTTCATTGGTTTTTGCTGATACTTCCTTTTTGGTTTTGTTTTTTTAACTCCCTTTGAATTTGGAAGGACATCTCTTTTATTTAGGTCTTTTTCCCATAAAGAAGAGCAGGGAGGGATACACTGTGCAGAGCATTCTCATGTTTTTAATCTGATTAGTGGATCACGTAGCTGCTTGTCGAGCCCAATTCACCATTTTCTCAGAAGCTTGGGGCAGAGGTCCTAACAGAAGGAGATTAATTCTCCTGGCGCTCAGCCTTGTCGGAGAAGTAAGCGCCTTGTGTAACATCTGGCGTATGTCCACTGGCTGAACACAGAAAGATGTGCTTGGGAGACCGTGTGTTGAAGTACATGGGGTGTGGGGGGACCCTTCATATTCATGATGTGCTAAAGGTACCACATTTTAAATACCATTGAATGCGGGTGGTTTATGCAGACATTTGTTTTAGCTCAAGCCGAAGCGGGAGGTGCCATTTCTTTGGTGGTGGAAGTTTTCATCATGCCTGCTGCTCCCCTGTAGACGTAGTGGTGTGGTGGCTCAGGCCGCTGGTCCGGGTGGTGTGTAGTATGTGGGGAGGCGAGGTGGCTAGCGCAGCAGTTGGTCTGTAGCTCCCCCACGTCATACAGCACTTTTGTCGCCAGTGCCTTCATTGCACACGGACATGGCACGCCCTTGGAGCCTTGCTGGCTCTCACAGCCTCTCAGGAGACCTCACGCAGGCAGAGGCAGAGCAGGCTCTCCTGAGTCTTGGTGAAATGGCCCACCCACCACCCCTTCTCCCTGCTCCCTCTCCCTCACTCTCGTCATTGGAGGAAGGATTCATTGGCTTGTTCTGTAGCCATCTCTTGAGATGTTTCAAGAATGTGGGGTTAGAGCGAGTGTCGGCATCTCCACAGACAAGCCGAGACCTCGCACCTCTTAGGAAATCTTCGTAAGTAGTTGCTTTTGATTCAAGTGATTGCTCTCATGTTGCTTCTGGGTGTAGGTACCCAGAGCAGCTTGGGGAACCGTGTTGATAAGTAAATCCCTTCTCTAAAATCCTGGCTTCAACTGAGACCAAACTGTACTCAGTCAAGACATACATAGACATACATATTTTTTAATTTATGACCCCTTTTTTTCTCTCATATTTTTTCCTGATGTTAAAGTCTCATTTAGAAAACAGGATAAATGATGCTGTTTATCAAAAGTTGCCCAAGCGTCCTGTGTTTCTTCTGTTATGTGTTACTGTGGTGAATCACCGTGTGGTAGGTTTCTTTTGGATGGCCGCCGCTGTGAGGCTGCCTTCTGCATGAATTGTCCCTGTGTGCTGGGCCACACACACCCCGTCATGTGAGGTCTCGTGGGGCTTGATCTACTGCCTGTGATGGAAATGTCTTCAGACATGTTTAGGGCGTGTTGCCATCGATGGACTTGTTGAAGGTGCTCTTGTCCACCTAAACAGTGCATCCAGCATCCAGGCTTGTTGAGAGACAGGGCTGGGTGAAGAGCCACTGGGTGTTCATTGTCAAAGTAGCAGCAAGCGGCTTTCTTTCCCCCGTCTGGTGACACTTGTGCTTTCATTCATACAAAGACCATGCATGGTATGGGCACTTGGGTCTCCTCAGCTTATTACTTTTCCAGGATTTTTGAGGTCATGCCTCGAGCGCGGACATGGCCCCATCACTGCCTTCTCAGGCTCTTCCCAGCCCTTTACCAGGATCTAGGGAAGCAGACTTGAGACATAGCAGCATAAATTATCTAATCCCAGAAAATTTAATTTTTCATTTTCTCACCTCAGATATACAAAGCCCCACTTGAACCACTCTGACAGGCCCTGTGGTGGCTGACGTGGAAGAGCCCATGGCTGGAGTGGAAGGCACATTTGTGAGGGACAGAGGCAGCTTTCCAGATTCTAGAAGAGGATGGCTGGCTCTTAGCTTAGGTTTATCATTCTTTCTTCAGAAGCTCTCACTAGACTAGACCCCAGGGCACAGAGGAATCACCAAATCCAAACACTTTTCTTCAGCTGATACGTAGGAAGAGGTTGGTGTGGACAACTCTGATTGGGAGCCTCCGCGTGTTTTCATCTAGGCGGGGCTGTCCACATTGTTCTGACACAGAGCCTGTGTGCGTGTTTCTGGGATCAATGGCCTCCACCCGTGCTGCGCCTGAGGCATCCTCCTCAGCTCTTCTGCAGTGTTTTCTGTGGCTGTGTTCCAATATTTAATTTACCTCTGCTTGGGGGATTGTGCGCCCTTCTCTGTTCTGCCTTCCCTGTCTCCCTAAACCAGTGCACTGTTGAAAAACTTGCAGGTTTCTGTCACCATACCAAAGCCAGAAGTTTCCTTCATTTGGATGCCAGTATTTATAGAGGTTTAACTACCTAAGTTAAGTTTTCTTTTTTCTCTGGGGCCAGCATAAGACCAGAGGCTGACCTGCAGATGAAACTACATGTTTGTGAGTGAGACCTCACGTTCGGGTCTGGGGTGACCTTTCTAAGAAATAAGGTGGTGTGTGAGTTAGTGGGGTGGTTGCATTTTTTACCTATCAGGGTGGGAGGTGGGTGGGGGATATCCTATTTTTTACAGTACTTTTGTTTTTCTATTAACATTTCCCTTTAGCCTTGAATTTATACTGACTTTCCTTCCAGTTGAACAATTTCGTTTCTAACCTCAGAATTTGAAATCTTGGTACTTAATGTTATACCAGTTTTTTCCAAAGAGTTCAGACCACTTTCATACCAAAACATGGTAAAAAATTTGCAGCCATTTCAAGCAGCTGGTGAGCTTTTTCTATAACGACAGTACTGGTACCATTAAATATTGTAAGAGATCGATGTAAAAAGTATAGGTTTTGGTTTTTTTTTTTTAAATAACAATAAACTTTCAAAGAGAAAGTCAACATGGGGTCTGCGTTTCATCCATTGCCTTGATAATGAATGACATTTATTTAAAGTTTCCAGATCCTCCAGCCGTTTTGGAGGAAGGAAGAGGGGCAGAGGGTAGGCTATCCTTGCTAGACATGGGCTCCTATGTAAGAGTAATCTCTGGAATGATGTTAAGTCTGCCTCAGGTTGGTAAAGCACAGTCTGTGGGGTGTGGTTAAGCCTTAACATGTAGTATTCTTGTTTCCTTGTTGGACGTAATAAAGGAATCTCATAAAAATTGATCAAGTTGACCTAAGACAGAACGACCTGAAGGTCAGCATGTATGGGTGAGGAGGATGTTCTAGGGCCTTCTTCCAGTCTTACCCAGGGTGTTAGCACTTGTACCACTCCGAGGGAGGGGGGTCATGCAAGTCTGTCTGCCCAGGCGGACCTGGCATGTGCAGCCCAGGTGTGGCACACAGTGGGAAGGGCTGCTGTCTGCCTTGGATGACGGAGAAGGGGTGGTTCCTATTGAAAGACTTATTGTAACACAACATTCATACCCTAGCCGGGCCTCAGGTTTCCTTCCAGTTCTCTTCACTAGGGTAACTACTTATCCAGCTGGTTTTCTCTGCAGCCGCCCTCATCTTCGAGCTCTGTGCTGCGGTTCCTTCCATAGTTCTCAAGGGCCCAGGTGCCTGGTGCGAACTGACCATGGAAGTGGGGGCTGGCGGCCAAGGGTGGGGCTAAATGGGACTGCAAACGCCTGCCTTTTCCTGAGGCCTTCACTTTGTAGAGGACACATCCGTCCTTCAGAGAAGGCATTTTCTTGTTTAACTTTGCAGCAATTTGAAAGACGACTGAAACCCTCATCCTTGAGGCTGACGTCTTAATATGAGCCGTCCGAGACACTGCTCTGGAGCCCAGTCACAGCACTGTGTCTTGGCATAAGCAGTGCTCTGTAAGTGTTGCCGAATAGCATTAGCGTAAAATGAAGTGCAAAGGCTGTGCACCTCCTAACCACCTAGGGAGCACTAGTTTTCAGAGACAGAAGTTGACAGGAGATGGTTGAGCAGCTTCTCCAAGGTCACATGGTCTGCAGCGGAGCCCAGACCCTCCAGTCCAAGCCAGGTCTCACGGCTGCTGCTGCTGCTGCTGACTCGCGTGCTGTTCTTCCCCAGCCCCAGCCCCAGCTCTGTGGCTGCATAGCATAGCATAGCATTCAAGATTCCCACCTTCTCCCTCGAATACTTCCTTGGGAGTTCATGTTTAATTGTTTTCACCTCTTACAGGCACGCACATCACAGAACAAAGTTTAGAAGTAAAAGTTGGGGCATTTGCTAGGACCCCTCCCCCTGGTGAAGGGCTTCTGTTTCTCCCTTGCAGTAGAGTTGAGTCACAGTTATCAGCCAACAGGTTGCTTTTCTTTGAAATACGTGAGGCTGGCACATGCCTAGGAGTTCTGGAGGGGAGGAACTGTTCAGGATGTTGAGTCTACCTAACAAGCCATGTGGGAACTTTGGAGGAAAAGGTGTCTATTTTTCCAGATGCCTATCATACTCTTTCTGTCTCTTGTCAGCTTGTCAGCTTGGGGGAGAGGGCTGGGGAGTGAGGACTGGGGTGGCGGGACATTGTCCCAACTTCTAAAAATGCAGGCGGGGAGCTAGACACTTCCATCTTGCTGCTGTCTGAATATCAGTGAACCTCCTCATGTTGTGGCCTAGTTAGGAATCGCTGCATGGAAAACGCTCCAGTTCTGGGCCTACCTGCTTGGTCCTGCCAGCCACTGGGTAACAGCCAAAGCTGGGGCTGCAGTCAGGAGTCAAACCAATTTGTGGTCTCTTTCGCTAATGTGGGGCCACTGTCCACACATCTTTCCTTGTAAAAGGAGAGCCTTAGATGGAAGCACCAGAAATGTGGGCACTAGCCCGCTTTCTTTACACATCATAGCATGGTGAGAATGTATTAGTGTTAGGAACTTTAGTGTGAACCAGCAGCTCTTTCTGTGAGAACTATACATTAAGACAAAAAGATAAATGTTTAGGAGGATCCCTAGGGGAGTAAGGTAGATCAGATAGCATTGGTACCCAGATACTTAATCCCTTTACCCATTGTCCTTAATCTGTTCAATTCCCTAAATGATACATTTAAGCTAAAATTCCCTTTACTGATATGGGAAGACCAGTCAGTACACAGTATCTTAAAAAGTTGTTTTCCCCTGCTTCTCAGAAGCTGGGCCTTGGTTTGCTTGGCTTTCTGTAGGTGGTGCTCAGGTATGAGGGCCTCCCCTCTGCTGATGGAGGAGGTGGAGACGGGTCCATTGAGATATTCCAGGGGCAGCAAGGAAAATGGTGCTGGTGGGAGCAAGCAGGTAGCAAAAGCAGGTAGCATTCCATGGCCTCAGGGTGGCAGGTCCCTACAGAGCATCAATCACTTGGATTTCACCACCATTCTCTTAATATGTATTTACTGAGACGCAGTGCAGCAAAGCAGAGGCTTGGAAATCAGTGTATCTGCCTCTGCTGTTCAGCTGTGTGACCTTGGGCAGCTAAATCTCTGAACTTGAGGGTCCTCACCTGTATTTGGTGCTACCAGCCCCCAAGGGTGGTTTTGGGCATCTTAACAAATTGGCATAGATAGCCTTTACTATGTGCTAAACCCTTATGAGAACCAATGAGGGAGGAAATCTTGCCACAATCTGGCTCCCTGAAACTAAGTGAGATGTTTTCCCTTCTAATTGAAATAATCATGAGCTTCAGGAAAGCGCCAGTCATGACTTGCAATCCAGGTGACACTTACTGAGTGTCTGTTGTGTGGGAGGCAGAGTTCTCGATCCCTCTCACAGATAGTGAAAGCGTTCCTTCCGTGTGGGACAGAGGGACGGGCAGGCTGACGTGGTGACCTAGAGGCATGGAGAAAGTGGGAAGAGAAGAGGAGCTGACATGGACCGGGTGGTTTAGCACTTGTCTTGTGTCTCGTGTTTGTTATTTATCGTAACCCTGTGAGGGGGTTCCCTGCCTTTTATGGAGTGGGAAACTGAGGTTTAGAGAGGTCAAGATACTTGCCTCAGGGTCACCCAACTTGATGCCAAAGCTAGTCTTGCTGACCTAGAACTTACATTCTTACTAACCCTGAATGCTTTACCATTTCTCCCAAAAGAGAAAAATTGCCTAAAAGCAAGCAGCCCTTGAGCGTGTCCTTGGCTAGCGGTAGGAACTCCACAGTGCAGCTGACTGGAAAGAAGTCTCTGAGTAAGGAAGGGGTGGGGAGAAGGCGGTGTATTAAAAAGTCACACGAGAGTGTATTTCCAGCAGTGCCTCTGGATGAACTAGCTTTGAACTGGAAAGTCATTTTGCTTCTCAGCCTGGTATCTTTCTGTCTCCCCCCACCTTGCACTCGCCTTTCTTTCCTTTCCTTTCTGCCTCCCTCTTTTCCCCCTGTCCTGGCCCACCCCCTGCCTCCTCCTCCCCCTTTTAAATGTGGCAGGCTGGGGCGGCTGGTGGCAGTCCCGCAGTGCGCAGTGCGGCTTTCCAATTTCACACTTACATGCCCCTAAAAGTATTCGTAAACCAACTCGTATGTAAAACCGCTAAAGGGCAGCAGCGCACACTCCTGTCACTTTGTCGGACGCCCTTTCTTCCACTCAGATCACTCTTCTTCCTGCAAACGCGGTGCTCTGAATTGAGCGGAAGTGGACACTTCCAGGAATCCAAGCAGGTAAGCAGAAGAGTGTGTGAGGGCTCATCTCACCTGAGCACCTCCTGTGTGCCTGGGCGAGGGCTGGTACTTCTCATGCTTTCTTACCACATTCACTCAGTGAACATGCGATGTGTGCCTTAGCGGTTCCCTTTGTACAGTTGAAGAAAAAAGTGTTGGGAGGAAAAAGTATTTACCTCTGTGCCACCATCACAACTTTCCCTTTCCCACTGGCATCTCCCATCCTAAGGTGGTGACTGCCACAGTGAGCAATTTGGTTGTCATTTGAGTCAGCACTTCCGTCTGTTGTTGCTGTTGTTTTTTATAGACAGACTGGGGTGTAGGCCAGAGATGCGGGTGGGGGATGTGAGAGGATTCACCTGAGACGGAGTCGGGAGCAGAACTGGCAGATCCACTGAAATACACTGCTGAGCGGGGAGACAGGACAGGTCTGCTGTGCTGTGAGGGTCAGCTCTCTGGCCAGGGATCGAACTCTCTGGTGGTGGTAGTGCTGAGACTTAACCCCTAGGCCACCAGGGAGGTCCTGTCCCTTTCAGTTTTTGAGACCTGGAAACACAGAGAGGGAAAGTGACTTGCCTAAGGTTACACAGCTGATTCATGATGGGCCAGGAACTAGGATCTTGAGCTTGCAGCTCTCAGGCCAGTGATGGAAAAAAATCAGTCCTGAGGTGGAGGTTCATGGGGTTAAGATTTGGGTTTGAATTTCAGCTCTGCTGCTTACTAAGTGTGCTGTTAGGCAAGTCACAGAATTAGACTCGTCATCTAGGAAGTGGGGATTGTTGGAAGTAGCCACCCCAGAAAATTAAAATGAGTTTATGCAGGCAGAGCAGCTGGACAGAAAACAGCGTGCTTGAACTAGGTCACTTCAGTGCTTCAGGAAATCTTCTCCACACCGCCAACAATGTTAAGTACCATTGTTAGCTCAGGGGTTGTCTACCCCAAATCCTGCCCCCCTCAAACATGCAGTTTCCTCATAGCTAAGGCTTGGTCCGTACCAGCCTTTCAAGGGTGTCCCAGCTCAGGGCAAGCCAACAAGTCACTACTCGCAGACATTGAAATTCAAGACAAGTGAATGTCCAGGCTTCCTAGCTTTAATTAGCACTCCACTAGAGAAATGTCTGACTTCTCTGTCCCCTGATGGTGTAGAGAAGACAATGAGTCAGAGCAGACAGGAACTGGCTTTTTTTCCCTCTCCAAATCAGGGAGCCTGTATACCACAGGCACACATTCAAAGCTTATTGAATGAATGAATGCTTGGCTTTTGCTTCTTCATTTCTCATTGCAGCCTATCTCTCCCTAAGATCAAAGTAATTATG